GCAGCTTCCCCACGTTCCACTGACCGCAGTGTCGGTGCATATTTGACGTCTAACCTCCCAGATGCGTCCGTTCTCCAGATACCACCGTCTTGGCTGAAGGCTCTGCCAAGTTGGGAAGACTGTCCGTTGTCCATGCACTTCCTGTGCGTTCGCCAGAGTCGAATCGGTGCCCGAAACAAAGGCACAGCGGCACGGCAGGGCTTGGTCCCATGAGTTTGTTGTCGCACTTTTTCAATTTGCGCGGATCTTGTAAGTGCATACAGGATTGCCTTTCACCTCCGTTCTTGTTTTCGCTTTCAATTTCCGGAAGATATCCAATGTTTGCTGCTTGCGAGGTCCATCAAGCATAGCTCAAGAATCTCGATTCGTGGAGGTTTGAAATTAATAATTACCGAATGTGCGGTCCTTCCTTTCAGTCTGGATGTAGCAGACTGTTGAAAGGATTGATTTCATGCCAGAGATGCTAGCGCAGCTCCGTGGCATAGGGTCGCCGGCGCCCGCTGCTTCTTGGCTTTGCCCACATCCTTCAAGAGCTTCTGATGCTCAATTGGCCCGTTGCAGCAGGGGAATTCTCCCGATTCCTTAAGAAAGGTGGCGTGCGTGGCTTGCTTGGCCAATGCCATCATCCACAGATGTTGTGAGTGAAGTGCAGAGCAAGAGTGTGATAAAAAAACCAAAACCATCGTGCTGTGTTTCCGCAGTACCCCAGGACTCTTATCCGAACCCCTGTGCAGAGTGAACGGCGGCACTTGGAATCTCTACAGCCAAATTGCAGCCTGATTCCACGGCGAGGTCACCGTCCAAGGTTTCAGGTGCTTCATGGCCGCTACGATTCAAACCCGCCACCAAGGCCCAGCTTTCTGTTGTGAGGGTCGAAAACATGAACAGATCAAGAAAGTGCATTCGGCTGTCTTGAGCAAAGTTTGAAAACGTAGAGCACAGGGGAATAAAATGGAATAAAGGCCTTTGTTCTTTTAAACGCCTTTTTGCTAGGGGCAGTTGGCAGCATGGGAGATCAGTGCCAGTTTGGGGTTTGTCCTTCGCGGGGTAGACCTGGAAAAAAGACTGAATTCCATTGGAAAAAACTTCAGACTCAGACCCCGTTTTGACATTGGGAAAAACACCTAAGACGCTCGAAAAAGTATTTAAGGAACCTCTAGGTTTGTGTAGTATATACCGCGTTTTGGAGTTTGAACCTCTCATTGTGCATGGTATATGCAGCAATTTGCAGATAGAACCGTACATTTTGCACGGTATTTGCCGCATTTTGGAAAGGCAACTACAATTTTCGAAGGAAGTTTAGAAGTCAAACTTCCGACAATATGGGCAGATGAAAAGCAGAGCAGGGAAGAGGCAGAGAGAAGAGAAAGATCAGAAGGAAAGAAGATGGAGATGCGCGAAAAGGTAGGAAAGTCGCGAAACACTGTGTTTTTCGCATGATTTGGGGCTCCGGAGGGTCGAAAAGTAGGCTCGCTAAAGCGGCAGGTGCGGAGCCAGCTGGCCAGATGAGAGATGAAAAATTGCACGCCGTTCTGGCGCGAAGCACATTTCCAAGTCAAAATGTACAAAACACACCATTGTCGGACCACTTTTGGCAGTTGAGATGTCGAAAAAGTGCACGCCGTTGTGGCGCGAAGCACATTTCCAAGTCAAAATGTACAAAACACTAGGGGTGCGGGCCACTTTTGGCAGTTGAGAGTGGCGCGAAGCACATTTCCAAGTCAAAATGTACAAAGCACACCATTGTCGGACCACTTTTGGAAGTTGCGATGTCGCAAAAGTGCACGCCGTTGTGGCGCGAAGCATATTTCCAAGTCAAAAGTGCAAAAAACTGACGGGTACGGAGCACTTTTGGACGTTCAGATGTGCTTTCGCGTGGCAGGCGCAAGGGATTGCGCACCTTGGCAAAAGTGAGCAAAACGTGAGGGTTTTGTAGAATTTCCAAAAACGCTGGCAGGCGTGGGACATTGGAAGAGGATCTTCAAAGATGCATTTCGCGTGGCCGGCGCAGTACAAAAGACATGTTCATCAGAGATGTTAGGAGGTCAGGGCGCCTGATTTCCTGAGACGGGTTGCATTTTGGAGCATCAGATCTTCAGGTTATGACCTGGCATCAATTTTTCGTGGCAGGCGCAGTACTTTACATAGGTGGAGTGGAAAGATCGCAAAACGCATTGGTACGAGTCTGTCAGCTCTGCACTCAACTTTTCATTTTTGAAGGAAGTCTCGCAGAATTCTTCGTTTTTGATGGCTTGCACTTCGAAAAATGAGGAAGTCTCGCAGAATTGCTTCGTTTCGGATGTTGTCAAGTTCAAAAAATGAAGACGTCTCGCAGAATTGTTCCGTTTTGGACGTTCTTATGTTCAAACATTATGGAAGTCTCGCAGAATTTCTTCGCTTTTGATCTTGCACATAGATAGATAGATCGATAGATAGATAGATAGATAGACAGATAGATACATAGACACATAGATAGATAGTTAGATACCAAGATAGATAGATAAATAGATAGATAGATACATAGACAAATAGACAGACAGATAAACAGATAGACAAACAGATAGAGAGACAGTTTTATCGATAGATAGACGGAGAGATAGACAGACAGACAGGCAGGCAGGCAGGCAGGCAGGCAGGCAGGCAGGCAGACAGACAGACAGACAGACAGATAGATAGATAGATAGATAGATTCCACTACACTACACAACACTACACTGCACTACACTACACTACTCTACACTACACTACACTACACTACACTACACTACACTACCTTCCACTACCTTCCACTACCTTCCACTACCTTCCGCTACCTTCCGCTACCTTCCGCTACACTCCATTCCACTCCACTCCACTCCACTACACTACGCTACACTGAATGACACTGCACGACAGATGACAGGTAGACAGATAGACAGATAGATAGATAGACAGATAGACAGGTAGACAGATAGATAGATAGACAGATAGACAGATAGACAGATAGACAGATAGACAGGTAGACAGATAGACAGACAGACAGACAAATAGACAATAGATAGATAAATAGATAGATAGATAGCTAGATAGATAGATAGATAAATAGATAGACAGATAGGTAGTCAGAGAAAGAGAGAGAAAGAGTGAGAGAGATCAATCTCCTTTCGATCCATCAGTGGCTTCGCTCTGCCATCCCTGATTCACCACAACCAACCTCTCCTATAGGTTTCCTATTATTGAAACTTCCGCCACCGCCTTGTGCGGTACTACTGGTACATGGTATTTGCAGTAAAGAGAAACTCTAATTTTGTAGTGTATACGCAACATTTTGGAGTTTGAAAACAAAAACTCTGATGTTGTATGGTATCTGTAACATTTTGGAGCTCAATTTTTTTAATTGTCATGTTGTATGGTAGTTGCAACAGTCGGGAACTTCACTGGGCAAGGTATTTGCAGCATTGTGGATTCATTTTGGATGGTACTAGCCGCAAAGTGAAGACACCCAAAAAAGAAGACAAAAATCAGCAACCAGAGCGAGAGGTGCAACCAAATTCTTGCATGTGTTGTGTACAACGACCATGCTCGACCATGCTTACCCAGGTCAACTTATTACAACAAAAATTGAAAAAACTGGAGGGCGGCTGGGGCAGAGCGTTCGTTGCTATTGGATTGTTTCCTCTACTCTGTGCTCCTCCGTTGTGGTTTTGAAATATTGTTGGTGGTGGCTGGTTGGTGCTTGTGTCAAGGGTGCAACAGAACCAAACAGCACGACCAATTGACTAAAGCAACCAGAAGCCAGAGGACAGAAGACCGGAGGACCAGGAGACCAGGCACCAGGCAACCAGGGCCAGGAGACCAAGGGACCAGGAGACCAAGGGACCAGGGGACCAAGAGGACTAGGAGACCAGGAGACCAAGAAAACCAGGAGACCAAAAGCCCAAGGGACCAGGGGACCAAAAGAACCAGAGGACCAATAGAACCAGGGGACCAGGGACTGCGGAGCCCCTAATTTTGTTTTCTAAGAATCCTAGATTCTTGTTATCATCCCTCCTTCGCGTTCTTTGCGTCATCCCTGTGACAGGTGATGCAGCGGCGTCATGCGAACAGCATCCAGCAAGAGGAAAACAGGGTCGGGCTGCTTTATGGACATGGCGGTTGCAAAGCGTGTGAGGTCTTGACTTTAAGTGATCTTGAGCAGACCCTGAATGTTACAGAGGTACACTATTGCTCCTGGCTGGAAGATGCGGCCTTTCAAAGAAAATCGGCCGAGTACCTGTGGATGCTGGTCTGTAGCGCAGGCGCTGTGCATAAAATGCGCTTTTTGTCGACATGGCTCTTGTTCTTGCTGCGGCAACATGCAGCAACTCTCACGACTTGCGGTTGTGGAGAGGTATGATTGTGGTGCTGGCCTACTTGTTTGGGAGCCAGTGCGCCATGTTTCTCATCAGATTTTTAACACAGAAGGACTGAGTGTCTACTTATGGCTACGATCCAGCAGGCTTGATAATCTTGATATGTGATTCAGGCACCAAACAGAAAGAGTAGGTATCACTAGTGCATGCGCTACCTCTGAAAACTCCTTGACAAAGAATCTTGCAACACGCTCATCAATGACCCAGTTCTAGGATAGCTGGTTGTCATTTTGAGATTCCTTCAGACATCCAGATTCTAGACCCTGAGAGTTTTCTGACTTACCAAACTGATGACCAAATACCAAATACCGGGGATTGTAAACTTCTAATCAGAGTTTTGAACAAAGTTCCACTCCACGCCTGTTGCAGTGCCAGGTACTTTGTGAGTGGAGCACTGATTGACCTCATGACATATCTCTGGGGCCAGCGGACTCCAACGGCAAGAATGCAGGTACACGAGTTGTTGGTTGCAGATGGTGTCATGCGAATGTGATCCCCAAGGCTACCAGTGATTGAAGGGCGTGTGCTGTTTGCGATCACTGGGAGATTTTTGAACATGGCTTTCGACCCGTGGTCAATCAACCAGATCACAAACATGGTGAGTGCCAGGTGCTGTTTTTCACCATCCGCACGCCATATTTGCCCTGGGTGCCTTGTCCTACTGGCTACTTGCCTACTGCTTGGTTGATTAGATGAGGGGCCAACCGTTCAACCCTCAGTTTCACTTGGGAAACATCATCATCATTTCTGTTTAAAGTGGTTTGTAGAGTGATGTGTAGACCTTTCCAAAACATCAGAGGCACAATGAAATGATGAATGGTATACCAGACCGGCCCAAATCAATCTATTTTTCCATATATATTTTTTGTCCATTTCAGAACATTGCCTCGCTGAGGTTCTCTCTATCCCTTCTGATGGGAGGCACGTGGAGAAAGCCGAACTAAGAGAGATTTTTTTCGCAGATTGCATCATTTGCACCGTTGGTTCTCCTGGGAGGCAACGTCCAGGATCAAAATCTCATGATAAATGAAGAGTGCAAGAGCTAGAGTCAGCATCAACCCTGGAGAATTCCGACAGCAAGTGGGTATATATCTTTGTGCCTGTTTGGTGTAGGCAATGATCAAAGCTACCATCACTATCCAACTCAAGATCTCAGAAGTTTCGATGTTGTACCGCATGCCGCGCAGCTGGGTGAGGCTGCCTGGTCGTTCAAGTCAGCCCTGTGACGTTGAGGGAAGAACTCCGAAACCAGACGGTGCCCGTTGTTCCAATCTCCAGAAATTAACTATGACACTTTGGAAGAAAACTTTGGAGGACATTTTCAGAGACAATACACTATGTTCTTTTTTGATATGTTCTGTTTTTTCTTTAAAAGAAAATTACATTCTGCAATGTCAGCCTGCATTGTGGAAATGCAACCTCTCAGTTGGCATGGCATCTGCGATGTTTCGAAGCTAGACCCTTTCATGTTGCATGGTATTTGCAGCATGTTGGACATGATATTTGCAGCATTTTTGAATTTAAACCTGCCATTTTGCATGAAGACCTTCCATTTTGGATGTTATTTGGAGCATTCCGAAACCTTGACTTGTTAACCAGTTCATTTACATGTCAGGGTCTTTTGCAGCAAAGAAAAAAAAATAAAAATAAGAACACAAAGCAACAACATAGAAACAGCTGGAAACAAAAATGCAAACGAACAAAAATAAAACAGAGAAGCAGGGAAAAAACACAAAAAAAAAGGTAACAGTTCCAGGGAAGCAACGCATAGAAGCGGAGAATCAAAAAGGGAGCTCCAAAATGTCGCAAATGGCATGCAACATGGAAGGTTCCAACTCCCAAACGCTGCAAATGATAGCATGGAACACAAACCAGCCAGACATCCAAGAAAAATCCCTAAGATGCATGACATATATAGCCACAAACATTCACTTAGAACATATTTTGGAAAAAAAAACAGAAGAGTGTGTCGGGAAATATTTTTGGAATATACCAATTTTATGTTAATTCCTCACACTTAGAACATACCATATAGTACATATATCTATGATTATCTATGTATAGTCAAAAAGTATAGTAATATCTAACATCAGTCAGTATATCAACTGAAACAGTATAATTCCATGGTGTGACACCCGCACTTAGAACATAATCATTCATGCAATACTATGTTTTAAGATGTTACACAGAAAGAAAAACAAGGTCACGCGCGGGTATTTAACCTGGTCTCATTTGTGTCTTCGACAGCATTTCGTCCTGTAAAATACAGGAGTTTGTGTTATTGGGGTAAATTCAGCCGTCGCGGCGCGTTTCGTTTTCACTCATTTCAATTTTCCGAGGTGAGACTTCAAGTCTGCAGTGACTGGTAAGTGGTATCGCCAAACAAAGGCATGCATATACAAAATCAATTTTTGATTCAAACCACCTTTGGACCAGTCTTTGTTGTTCAAAGAGGAAGGAATGAAACGGTCAAGCGATTGCCACCATCTGTCCACTGCTTGAGTTCCAGCAATGGTGGCTCCAGGTTTCTTCCAAGTTTTCAACTTTCGAGTGAACTGTTGTTTTCGATGCGTAACTGGAATTTTTTTGATCCTTTTCTCTACATATGGTCACTATGTTGAGAAGAAATCAAAAAAGTCGCAGCGTACAACATACATGCTGTTAGTAGCATATGGTAAGTATGGAAGATAACAACACAATCTCTTGCAAGGCTTCATATATGTGCTCCTTATCATCCCATCCCACCCCATTCCACCCAAGACGTAGCATGACCTAGCCAAGTTGGTAGCACCAGGACATGACGTCAACGTAACACGACGTTATCATCCCACCCCACCCCACCCCACCCCACCCAAGACGTAGCATGACCTAGCCAAGTTGGTAGCACCAGGACATGACGTCAACGTAACACGACGTTATCATCCCACCCCACCCCACCCCACCCCACCCCACCCCACCCCACCCCACCCACGACTAAAATACCCAAAAAACGCCCAAAACTACCAGGTTATTTATCAGCACGCCTCCAAAAACAACAAACCATTTTCTAGTCTAATATATTCGTCCTAATACTTACCCTCCTCCACTAATCACAAACACCTCGTTTGTTTTGCATGGGATATTTAGAATTAGGGTGAGAAGTGTCCCCCGAATAATCAAATCAAAACCTTAATAGGGAAAACACCAATTGTTCATTTCAAAATCACTAAATTCCTTTTAACGACCAATGAAAATAATTGCCAATATTGGATTCCGAAACTTTCCTGTAATGATACAAGCAAAACCTCAATTTAACAACTTATTTTCCCATTTCAGAAACGATCAAATTCCTTATTAAAATCTAATGAACATATTGCCTCAAGTTGGATTTCGAAGCCTTCCCATAATAATCAAAAAAAACAGGATGAAGGGTTGCAGTGCTGCAGCTGGAAAGTAAAACTGAAGTGAGTTTGAGTAGGTCTCTGGTTTCGTAAAAGTAGACGGGTTCACCAAGTTCTCCAATAGGTGGAGTAAGCTCAACACTTAGAACATCTATTTCTCCGGAAGGGTTCTTGAAACTGTTCATGTCTAGACGGAATGTTTTAGAGTCAGAAGGGGTTGAACTGAAAGAAAGACTTGCATGATTTTTTAATTAATTTTAGGGATTGGGAAAGTATCAAATGCAGGATCAGGTGGGGGAAGCTCACACTTAGAACATCTGTAACAGCCACAACAGCAGCAACAGCAGTAACAGCAGCAACAACAAAAAACATCCAGAAACACACAAAAAACATCAAACAACTAGTATTGCAACTACAACTATGTACAGCTACAGCAACGACAACAACAATAACAACAACAAACAAGAACCCACAAATAACAGACAACAACCAACAACCAACAACCAACAACAGCTTGCATATAGCATGCCGAATGGAAGATTCCAGCTCCAAAATGTTGCAAATATCGTGACAAATCGAACTTTCCAGCTCCTAAATGTTGCAGCTGGCATCCAAAATGGAAGGTTCCAGCTCCGACATGCTGCAAATATAATGCAAAATCGAAGCTCCCAGCCGACATGTTTGCAACTAGCCAACTAGCATCCAAAGTGGAAGGTTCCAGCTCCTAATGTTGCAACTAGCATCCAAAATGGTTCCAGCTCCAAATGCTGCAAATAGCATGTGGCATGGAAGGTTCCCGCTCACAAATAGCATGCGAAATGGAAGGTTCCAACTCTAAAATGTTGCAAACATCATAACAAATCGAAGGTTCCAACTCCAAAATGTTGCAAATGGCATGCAACATGGAAGGTTCCAGCACTACGTCAATGCACCTTTACCTGCAGTCTCCTATCAGCTGTCAACTTCGGGTACCGCTAAACTTGGATGAGTTGATACCAAAAATGGACCAATTCTTCTGTTTTCAATTCTTCCAGGGAGCAGGGCCAGGGAATATAAAATGCATCGGATTCAGCATTGATTCTCGGAGAAATTGATGTTTCGCTGGTCCCTGGGAGGTTTTTTTGTCCAGAACAAGAGCTCTTGGTTTCACGATCCATTGATCTCCTTGATCTTCCTGTTCCTGGCTACGGCGACTCTGCCATCTGTGCCATAAAGCGCTAGCACCGCTAGCAAGTCAATGTACTGGCCACCTGGCAATGCTGAAAATGCACTGGCAGCTTTGTTTCTTTCTTTCTTGCCGTTTCACTATAGAGAGGGGGGGGCAACAGTCCATGTGGATATTGGGCATCATTTCGTAGAGGAACATGAGCTGTTAATCCAATGCAATTCCAGTGTTTTCCTCGATGATCGATACTGCAATTTTCTTTAAGTCTTTGTTGAACGTTGATCGTGCCTGCATTGACTGCACGTTTCATCCAACTTCGACAACGACTCTTTGAACTTCCTCCTGTGGACGGCTTTGGATGGGTTTCACACCTTGTACTGTAAACCGCCTGACAGGTTTCAGTTTATTCAGGCAGGGCTAGTTCTTTATCATGCTGCCCATTGTTAATTTGTGGCTCAAGTCGGCTGACATCAAGCACAGTGGTCGTTGGGGTAAGGGCAATGGGAGTGTCAGATTTAGACAGGCAGATAGAACAGCTACGGAGGCAGGGCACTGAGAAAATTGCAAGCCAAACAACTCTTCACTTTGACTCTCGTGCGGAGGTGTGAGTACATCAAAGAAGCAGAAGTCAAGGCGGATTTGGCGTGGATCACTTTGAACAGGTATTCGGCTTGCAAGTCTGAAGTCACATACTACACAAAATTGTGGGCAATTGCTTCAGCCTCATAAATTTTGAGTTGTGATAGGTGGTGATACGAATGTGCGTGATGTAATTATAGTTAGTTTCACACACACACAAACATACACGCGCGATGGGTTCTCCAACGCAAGAGTCTCTGCCGCAGGCCCTGTGTTCCAAAGCACGGGAAATTCTCGTGGAAGAATGCAATGTGCAGAGAGTGGACGCACCCGTCACAGCCATGACCTCAATTTTGTGAAGACTTATTCCTCAAGAAAGCAAACAATTTTTGCAAACTTCATGAAATAGTGCATGTGATCATGTTGTTGGAAAATGTTGGAAATGCTTTCGATGTTGACTTGTTGTGGTTGCACTAAGATTTGTGGGGACATCCATGGCCAGTTCTACGATTTGGTGGAGTTGTTCAAGGCGCGCATCAGACGTGAAGATCTCTCCACGAACCAATGCATTATTTTTGAAGTTTTTTTGAAAATTCTTGTACAGGTTGGGGCGGTTGCCCAGACATCAGCTACCTTTTCATGGGTGTTGACTCACGGTGTTGACTCACGGTGTTGACTCACGGTGTTGACTCACGGTGTTGACTCACGGTGTTGACTCACGGTGTTGACAGATAATTGACAGCGACGTTCTACAACTGTTGCAAACCTCCAACCCCTGCATAATTTTTGATGGTTTCACAGGTTGGGGGCGATTGCCCAGACACCAACTACCTTTTCATGGGTGACTTTGTGGACAGAGGCTTTTACAGCGTGGGGGCACCTTGGGGCCGTTGGGGACAGCTTGGTGGTACTGGCAGTTCCTTAAATCCTGTTCCAAACCTTGGCAGCAACTTGATTTCCAAGTCATTGTGAGACGGTGTCATTTCGAATCCCTGTTGCTGAGCAGCTTCAGGTCGAAACTTTTTTGATCTTGCTTGCTCTCAAGGCTTGGTCAGTTTTGCTTTCACATTCTATGTCAGTGCCTTTGGTCTGGGCATGTCTTGCGCCTTGCGTTTGCAGGTGCGCTATCCAGACCGAATAACTCTGATTCGAGGCAACCACGAGAGTCGACAAATCACACAGGTGCGCGGTTTCACCAGGAGGGGTTGTAGAATGTTGTAGAATCAATACATATCAATACATTTTCCATCAGTTCCCCAAGTGAACGTTTACCTCCGGCCTCTGTGGATGCGATGCATTGTGCTGAAAAATCGAAGATTGCTGTCCTGTAGGTCTATGGTTTCTACGATGAATGCCTGCGAAAGTATGGCAGCGTGAATGTGTGACTTGGCCAGCTTCAAAGGAACTGTCAGAGCTTCTAGTTGTAGGGGGGCGGGTGAGCATCTCAGACCTACATAAACCAGGTCGAACTTGATCCAAAACCTCCAAAAATGCAGAAGCTACTTGTGAATCTTGTGAGGTGGAGATATTGCACAGAGGTCTTTGACTACCTAGCCTTGGCGGCACTGATAGAGGTTGGAGCTTCATTGGAGCCTGCCAACCAAAACACAGTGTGCTCCTTTGACTTTTGACCCATAAGAATCATAAGACCTGTCCTGCCAGGATCGCATCTTTTGCGTCCACGGCGGGCTATCACCTGCCATCAACACTCTGGACGACGTCCGCAGTATTGATCGAAAACAGGAGGCGCCGTACAGCAATTGCATGAGATGCAAGAGTTTTGACACGAAACCACTGAATCCAACTGAGCAGCGATTCTTTTCTGTATATGAATTATGTTGGGAAAGGGATCAACAGGGAACTCCACAAGACATAGCTAGGCTAATGACAGGCTCATTTTACCCTACACCGTGTAGCCTTTACGTGGACGCCTGTTTACAAACAGTAGAAGACAGGAGTCATGGCTGCGTAGGCAAATGCTTACACCGCGCAGGGTCGCGTCAGCACCCCTCGTAGATTACTGCGTAGGCTAACTCATGCAATGGCAACTCACATCTACTCACACAAAGACAAGGGCTCAGCCGCGCTACGGAACTAGATGGAATTAGATATGACAAATTGCTTGGAGGAGAAGTTCCATTACTTCAACCAAGCAGTTGCCATGAATTCAATCGCAGCAAATGCTGCTTCGGAGGTGCCGCACGAGGGTGCCATGTGCGACCTGATGTGGTCTGATCCAGAGGACTTGGGCCAAAGTGGGCATAGCATGGCATATCAGTGAGCATAGCATGGAACATAATCATTGACCCCAAAATAGTGAATGCCTTGAGTTCATTTCAGATGATTAATGATGATTATAAGATACTAATACTATGAGATGACTTAAAACTATCAAACAAATTCAAACAATCTATCTTTCAGAGGGTTTTTCAGAGAGTTTATCTATAAGATTTTCATTTCGAAAACAGCCATTCCCGGGTCAAGCCGGACATCTCGTGGCCAGCCGTGGCCAGGACCTTGAAGGCTGGGGTCTTTCTCCTCGAGGTGCCGGCTACCTGTTTGGTGGCGATGTAGTCAAGGGGTCCAGTCCTTAGGGGCTGTGGGCTGGTCATGGAGCTGGTCCACTGGTGGAGACTGTGAAGGTTGGAGCAGCTGAGCCAATTTTTTTTGATAATGTATGATAATGTCATTATCATCATTATCATTCATGATCTACATACAATTCCCCGTTTCGGCAAGTGACCATTGGAACGTATCCAACTATCCAGGCTTGGTCTTCAACTTTTTTCCGGGTCACTTTTGTTGCGGGAGATTGGGTGTCTAATACTGGTGCAATCACTGGTCCCCATGAGTTCTGGAAAGCGGGGCTGTGACTGAGATTCAACCACACCAATGGCATCGACCTCATTGGACGGGCACATCAGCTGGTGATGGAAGGCTACAAGACGATGTTCAACGAGGCAGAGAACTTTTCTAGTCAACAACTGCCATGAGCACCGACAGTGGTGCAAAGTGCAGGCTCTTGTCACTGTGTGGTCCGCGCCAAACTACTGCTATCGGTACCGGCCTGAATTTGAAGTCCAAGAAATCTAGCCAAAACAAATTTCTTTTTGGAATGATTTGTTTCCTTGCCTTCAGCAATGTCTCGGCTGGTTTTGGTTTCCCCAGGTGTGGAAATGTTGCGGCAATCCTAGAGTTTGACGAGAATCTGAAGCAGTCCTTCAGAATCTTCGAGGCATCCGTGTGGCATCTTTTTCCGTGTTGGCAGGTAGACGCTGAAACGGGTCGAAATTCAAAGGCGCAGTGTTTTTTTTTTTGCATTTTCACTGCTATTATGCATTATGTACTATGTATAATTGTATTATGTATTATATACGTATGTATAATGTATTATGCATTATGATGTATCATGCATTATATATTATTATCATAATAATAATGATAATAATAATAATCATCATCATTGTTATTATTATTATTGTTATTATTATTATTATTGACCCATATTCACAGTGATGTTGCTGTCAGCGTTTGGGTCTAAAAGACGTCACCCCTTGCAACACCTTGGTGCCAGGCAGCCCCAGCAGACGCAAGGGGCGTGCCTTCCAGAAAGCTGGTGCCAGACTACTTTTTGTAGTCATGAACAGCTGCGCGGCATGCGGTAAAACATCGTAGCCTGTGGAGTGAGAAGGGTGAAGCGAAGAATCTTGAGTGATGGATAGTGATGGTAGCTTTGATCATTGTTTTGAATATGTTTTGAGATACCATGCCAACATGCATCCACCAATGGACTAGTTTCTGTGATGCCTTCCCGGCTAGTCCACTGAGCCCGCTTTGCCTATCTACACCTGTCTACACCAAGCAGAAGTTTTGTGGACATCCTCATGGTAACAAGCCAAAGAGGAATCGCGCGCACGAGCTGTGGCAAGCTATGGGAAGGTCTGGAGCCGTTTGGAGCCGTTTGCACGTGAACGCTATGGAGAATGCTGACATTCCCATGGGTTGGCGCAAAGTTCTACAAAAGAGCGCAGTAGGTTGGCCTGGCTTAGCCTGTTGGAGTTCAAATATTTTCTTGGATTTTGCGTGTGAGTAATTACTGTTGCTTCTCAAAGGGCCGAGCAACTTCCAGACTCAGCCATTTGCTGCGGCTACCATGGTGGTGTAGTTGTGTACGTCAAAATGAAGCTAACTAATAAGACATTCAATTTGCAGCAACAGGCTCTGCCAACGGCGAGCTATGCTCGTTTGCACATTGTCCCAGAACCCCAAGGTGGTGGATGCCAAGGTCTTTGGTTGAGACCAATCGACACAGTGATTAGATACACTTTTGTAACATACACTATTTGAGATATCATGGATCGGGCCCTGGGCCCATGGTGAAATGATTTGGAGATACACTATTTTTTTCAATGATGCCCATGGTGACTGACACGGCTTCCGCCATATCACAGGGGTGCGGCCGTCGTGACCAGTGGGGGGGGGCCACAGAGCCGGGCCGTTCGAGTCAGCCCTGGGCGACGTTGAGGGAAGAACTCCGAAAGGAGACAGTGCCATTGTTCCAATCTCCAGACCTTTACTGTACTATGAAATACTATGAAACTATTGGAAGAAAACTTTGGAGGACATTTCTGAGGCAAAACGAGATGGTTTTGTTTTATTGAAAAGCAACCATATAGCATATTACAATGACAACACTTGTCATTTGACATGTCACAGAGGGACATTGTTTCCTCCAATCTCGGCCAGCATTGCAGATGGGCGAAGGCGTGTGGCAGAGGTGAAAGTTCCGTTGCCGTTGCCGCCGTTGCCGCCGTTACGACATGTTCTTCTTTTGTCATGTCATGTCGTAGTGACCCCTGAGATCCCCATGTCATGTCATACTGCGATGCACAACTTCCAGAAGAATGGTGGATTTTTAGTTTTTTGTTTGGGGGACAAGCGATGGTTGGGCCAAGTTGTTTATCATGTTATCCTTGATGTCAGCGAGCAAGGACGCTCAGATCGAGGCTGTAGAGTCCTCAAGGCCTGGGCAGAATCACCAGAGCACGATGTTTTTTCAACATTTCTGGGCAAAAGAGCTGGCAGCAAAACTGGCATTGAACATTTTTAATTACCCACTTGACTAAGCCTCACCCCCAATATCCCCCAATCCTGGTGCCACATCGACGCTTGCGGCTAGCAAAAAGCCAGCCCAATGATCGAAGATGGCAGAGAGCAATGGGTTGCGCCCACCTCCAACTTCCACAAGAAGGCAGAGCGGCTGCATAGTCACCTCATGTCCTGTTTGCATACAGACTTCGGGCGATTTGTATCGATTTGTTAGTGTCCAGTCGTCCAAGAAATTCTTTGAACCCCATGGAGTGGTGATCTCCGGCACCTTTGATGTACTGAACTCAGATGGCAGGAACGATGACCCCGGCGCTTCAGCGCTACAAGGACGGGAACCCATTTTTTCAGAGTTCCCAGCTGAGGGCCACAACTTCCCACAGCCTGCATGGACCTGTCGACCTGTCGCTGCGATTCGAATCAATCGATTCAGAGTGATTGAACTAATTGATTCAACAATTGAACAATTGATACAACATGATTCAACTATTATACAATTGTATCAATTGAATCCGTATGATATCAACAATTGATTCAACAATTGATTCAACAGACTCTTTCAGATTCTATGTCCAAGTCACCGACGCCAGATGAGCCTCACGAGCTCGCAGCGGTTCAAGGCCATCAGCTGGCGTATTTCAAAAAACTCGTTACTCCCAATTGAAAATAATGTAAAGCATGACATGGCGGAGAATTGAGATTGAGATGCCACTAGGCTGGTGTTTTGGCTGTCTCTTTTGATACTCATGTTGAAGCCATTTCTACTGTTGAAGACAGCGCTCATGCACACTTCCGCAAGCTGGAAACATGGTCCTGCAACTTTGAGATGTCTTCTCGTCTGCCAAGACGTTGAAAGGTATTGCACCGTGTGATTCACCTGGAGCAGTTGTCAGGACTTGAAGAAGGCGAACTGCCACCTCTAGAAGCCGCGTGAGGCCCAGTGATGATTTCGTTCAAGTGGTCAGCAACTCCAGCAGCTCCTGATGTGCCATGGGACAGGTCCAAAACCAGCTAGGTGATTTTTGGATAACTCGATTTATGAACTATGCACTTTGAAGACCCAACAATAATACAATATGATTATGATTAATTATTCAGAATGGGATGCCATAATAAGGCTGTAATATGTCCACTTTTATTTTATAGATTTCTACAGTATGGGAGGGCCTCATAAATCCTCCCCAGAGATAGCTGTGACCTGACCACCTGAGGTGACCGACTCGCAACCGGGGCGCTTGAAGCAGGTAGAAACTGACATTGGATTTCTATGAAGAACAAGAACCTGTTCTTGACAATCTATGACATTCTGTGATATTCTGTGATATTCTGTGATATCAGTTCAAGAAGTGATGTGGGGCAGCAGTGGCGTGCCCTTGAGAGGTCTCAGCCAGTGCGAAAGAAGGATTGGCAGACTTTTTCAGTGACTGGTTTGGCTCGTTGCGCTTGCACCACAAGGAGAGGCTGAGAAATTCAGTCAAATCCTTTGAAGGTTCAACACTTTGAAGTCACTTAGCAAGATTACAAGCTCGGAAACATGTGTAATACCAGACTGCCAGGTTGTTTCATGTGTTCGAAGTGTTTCATCCAGCAACATATTTTCGGAAACCCAAGCCTGGCAGCCCATCAATTCGACATCCGGAACTCTGACGCTTCAGACCCTTCAGGAGGAGCATGAACTGCAGGGGGTGAAACGTCGCGATGGCGAGGCTGCGGTGCTTGGCAAGGCCGCAAAAACAGCTGGCCGATTTCCGTGGCGCGAGGTTTGCGGGTTTGGAAGGGGCCTATTACCATTTTAATCTGTTCACCATATTAACATATCAAACTTGTATCCCTGATTTTGGATGGTCTTTAGACAATCTAATCTAGAGAGAGAGTCTGTTTCTGTTTGGGATATAAGGCTCTTCAATCTCTCAGTCCAATCAGTCCATGTTTCGCTGTCTGAGCTGTCTCCGCCATGCCGCACAACTGTGCGACATTTGATCGCAGGACATTTCCGGAAACATCCCTGGCCTTTTGGCGCTTTTTGTCAGCAGGTTCTGAGTTGCCATTGCTTACCATCACCCCAATGTGACAGGCCTTGGAGAGCAAAAGGCAGGCGCGAAGAGACAAGTTTCAAGTGGTTTCTCAGCTGAAATCATCTACTCGACCAAGCAACTCCTCAGTTGCTTTGGATGGATTTGAAGAATATATATATATATTATTATATTATAGTATACACACAGCAGGTAGACTCATCAGGCTGTTAGGGTTGAAATTCTTTCGATGTGGACGTTGGCCTTGTCACCAAGGTCAAGGATCCGAAGGGACGCCGGATACGCGTCGGCACCTCAGAGAATTCTCAACCGAAGCCCTGTCGCTTTTCAGCACCCGAGGAACCGCCGGTGAGCCGAACGCAGTCCGAAGCTTGAGGGAATGAAACGATTTGCATTGATTTGAAGGGTTTGGAAGAGCTAGTATCCACTTCATATATATATATATATCTCTTGATATCACACTGACAACTTGGATTTCACTGAATAGATATTTCTTGACATTTCTCCCCAAAGCTCAACTTGCTCAGAGCCCATTTGAAGTATCCGACAGGGTGGCAGATTATCGCAATGCCACCGAGAGACAGTGAAGCCTGACACGAGTTAACGGCGTTGAGCTTCAACCGTGTCCCAGACGGCTTCAGCTCAGATCAGCCCCAAAATTGCTTGAAATGGGCGATAGAAGCCATACCCGACTGGTAGTTTATTATGTTTATAAATCGCTCTTGGGGTTTACTTCTGCGAAGACAGTGTGTGGATTGCTGCCCATCCTTTGGCCAGGCTGAAAGGAATGGGTTGGGGTGGTCCACCCATCAAGCGTCCAAAAAGAAAGGCGCCTAGTCACCCCGGCTGGATCTGAAGAAACCTCAAGAAAAGGAGAATCCAGGAGGTATCAAAATCATTACCCAAACAATCCCAAACATAATTCAAACTACATAAACTACTACCTTACTTCGAGTGATCCCCACCCTGACACACTATTCTGACATAGTACTGTATCATCTGGAAGTAAATAATGCAAATTACTTATGACATATTCAGTTTATATACATATGTTCTGACATTCTATCCGTTCTTTCTGGCATTCTATCTGGCATCTATTCTGACATTCTATTTGGCATCTATTCAGGCATTCATTCTGGCATTCTATCTGGCATCTATTCTGACATTCTGTCTGGATCTGTCTGGCATTTTATCTGACATATGTTCAGGTCCATTCTTAGAATGGCGATATGGAGTTCAGGTCCAGGCGAAGACATGCCCACTGGGCGTTTCGGAGCCTGGCACAGGAGGAAGCTAACTCGTGCGAGTTGAGGGAGCCGTGCGGCACATCGAGTTGTGAAAATCTAGAGGCCTTCACCTGGCCGGGGAAACATTCAAAAACGTTAACCAACGTTAACATCATCTAAAAAATCCAACATAGTTTATGTAAAGTTTTGAACATGGTTTGTGTGAGCCTTTTCAGCTGGCCCCATATTTGTCTCAGAGCAAAACTTGACCAGCACAGGACAACACCGATGTAACGCCAGCGCAGCAGATGTACCAGGGTAGCATTGGTGGCGAATGAGATGAGAATAGATGAGATCTATGAGGACATCAAACTGTAAGTTTTTAAAGCTTGGTTTCTTTTGCATACACAATTAATTACAATCACGATACAGTGCAGTGACACTGGAGCAACATGACTTCGGCGTGTTCTAAGGCAACTCTATCTGCACGGGCGGACTGTGCCTGGGCAAAGCTGGGCAAAGCTGTTGAGTTCGACTTGGGAAGTCCATGGGAAATGTGGATGAACCAGCCATGGTAGTAATCACATGGCGCTCTAACTCGTTGTTCGTGAAAACTTAACCATATTGGGAGGAATTGATGAATATCTGAAGCCCCTACAGAATATAAAGCTTTGTACCAGATACCATGTGCAGGTCTTTGTTCCTACTTATGCGAGTCAGAACTGCAGATCCCAATTCAAGACCATGTGCGGTCACAAGACCTGTGCGCTGAATTCTCATCCAAAGCCACTCCATATCTCTATCTATGCACACAAATATACAAAGAGAATACTATAGTTGTGTTATATATTATATATATATCATATTATATATATCATATTGTGAAATCAGTCTTTATTTAAGATCTGGTTTGGCATTTTCCACCTCTGAGATTGTTTCATCTAGTCAACTCATGGCAGGTGCAGGAAGATGAACACGAAAGCCTGGAAGAAATGATCGAAGAGAGGGTCTACGAAGAGGCGGCTTTGACCCGGAAGTTGGATTGACTTGAGATAGGAGGTTTGCAACATTTCGGTTTGTCTGAAAATAGGATTCATCCAGACAAACCCATTTGATTTTGCTGTTGGATGATTTTGTTTTGACCTGCAGTTGTTTTGCAGAGTTGGTGAACCGTTGTTTTGCAGAGTTGGTGAACCACCAGGATACCGAGTTCTTTGTGATGCAATCCTTTCCAACCTTTACCTTGATCCAGCATCTCAGCTGCAGCTGTGGAATCTTGCTGAAATGTTGGTTCTTCAGCATCTAAAAGAGGACATACAGCAACTGGACCGGGTGTTCTCGTGATTCAAGGTGTACACTGATCTTGATGTCGTACATATTGAGACTCGGTTGCACCGAGAACACTGGGAACACATTGGGAACGCTGAGTGCGACGCTCTTGGCCCAACAAAGCTCTGCACTTCTTTGATCGTCGACTTGGGTTCCCCCCTGGATCTACACAGTCAGATGACCGTCATTTTTCCAAGGCTTTCTGCCACATCTGGTAAGAGCTTGGCGGGCTTGGAAACTTGGTTTCCTGGTCAAACTGACTTGGCCCTCACCAATGTGCAGAGCGAAGGCTCCTGCCAGGACCTTTCTTTGTTGTGTGTGATTGTTGACAACTGTTGAACAAGCTCACGAAAGAAAAACACGGAATCTTTCACATGGAGGCTTTGTGACTCTTTGTGATTTTCCTTACATCGGGTTCGATATTGATAAGATATGGTAAGACAGTACGACATATTGGAGGGGCAGAGCTTGAGATCGCTGCAGAAAACACCCATGGCACGCCGAAGGACTTCAGGTTTCAGCTCTGGCGTGCGTTCTCTGGCAAGATGGTGTCAGACGTGGCTGTGTGAAATACTTGGCGATCACTGTATATTAATATATTAGAATTAATCATCAATACACTATAATATAGTTAATATATCAATATATATATATATATTATACACACATTGTATATTATATGTGTATATACTCTACGTTGTATGTATATGACATATGACATATTGATGCCGATGTGAGCAGCATCAAAAACCTCCATGAAGGGATTTAGTATTCGGGTTCATGTGGGGAACCCCCCGCAAAAGCCAAACCTTCACGCGCGAAAGCCGCGCGAAAGCTCCGCGAAAGGAGTGCGTCAAGGTCGAGCCGCGAAAGCAGTGGCGAAAGCAGGTAGATAGTAGAAGCACATTTAAATATACATGTGCACCATCATTTACGGGCAATTTTCCGCGAAAGCAACCGCGAAAGATATTACGAAATACATGTCGCCGCGAAAGCCAGAACTGTGCGCGCGAAAGAACCGCGAAAGCCGTCGCGAAAGCTTATAAGGATTAGAACCAAATCGCTACCCGGTTTTCGACGCCGCTCATGTGAGGATTCTGTAATCCCTAGGGTAGTGGCCTGTAAACAAGGGAAGGATCCGAGTCTGCGGTTCACGGCCCAAGGCTGACGTATCAGTTCACCCACAGCTCCTTCACGCACATGCTCGGGAATGTGCCAAACTTAGCAACCCAACCACTTTGCAAAAACGTGTGCGGTTTTGGGGCATTCTGTCTAGTAGTCACTGGTGGCAGTTGAAGGGATGCGCGCAAGATATCTGGAATGCGAATCTAGCTGCTGCCATTGAAACACTGACACATGCTTGGATTCGGCCCCAGAAAACTGTGCCCTTGAATGAGTGAAGATTCATTATGAAACTCGCGTGGATTAAGGAAGGAACAAACTTACGTAGTCCTGTGAAAATAGTGGGTAATCGTTGCACTTGTTTTCGTCGTTTTGTGATGCCCAGGTTCTCCTGTTGGCAATGTGTGGCATCAACCTAGAGGTGCCTGCGTCTAGAACATGGGACGATTTTTTAAAGGAAATGTACTGTAAGTTGATACACAAAAGCCTATGTTACCATTGGTGTTTTTTTGGTTTGTCAATTTTTAATGCCTGCTAAAAATCATCGTAGTCGTGGGTCAATGCCACAGATTGGCTGCTCAGGGCTTCCATGGCACACTTCGGCTGCTCTGGATGTTCGAGATTGGTGTTCTAGGCCGGGGAGAGACTCCACCGGAAAGATGCGGTGTTTGGAAAGCTTCTTGGACCCCCACCCATCAGATGTTAACCCCCCATATTGGATGTTAATGATGTTAAAGCTGTTAAGGATGTGAAACCATGGTTTCGTGATATTTCCTGTAGATTTTCTTTGAAGGTGGTGCTGGCTGCGTGTGCGTTTTCGACAGCCATGCCCGAGCCGAGATCTTAGCCGGGGTGCACTCACTGGATCAGTGATCCTGGCATTCGACGTGGATTCCATCAGATTCCATCAGATTCCATCAGATTCCATCATTTCAGATCATTTTAGATAATTTTAGCATAACTTATCTCTTAACTTTGATTATCTACTGAGATTCGATCTTTTCGTGATAGTCTGCCGAAAGTGAAGATGAAATAAAACGCAAAGAAACGCCGTATCATTCCACATTTTTCGTCATGTTTCCCCAAAATTTTGGTGAGTTTGCCCAAGTTGGGACCCAGGTCGTGGGTATGTCCGGTGGTGCCTACGCCCTGCTGGGCATGCAGCTGGGAGATGTGCTGCTGAATTGGGAGCGAAAGTCAGCTCCATACAGGCCATCAGCTGCGGCGCAGCAACCTGGTCATAGTGTGGTAGTGGTGGTGATGGTGATGATTCATGATGATTCATGATGATTCATGATGATGATGATGATGATGATGATGATGATGATGATGATGATGATTCATGATGATTCATGATGATTCATGATGATTCATGATGATTCATGATGATGATGATGATGATGATGATGATGATGATGATGCAGACAATGTGGGCAAGATGAAACATTTTGCCATCTTGAGCATTTTACTGCACTGGGTTGCATCGTTCCATGGTGGGTTGGCACCTCTGGGAGGTTGATCTTCATTTTCCTTCTTGCCTTAACTGAGGCATGAAGGGCTTCCAGGGCTTGCAGGGTGTTTCCCTCGATAATTTTTCGCCAATCGGTTTGCTTTGGCTGATTTGTTTCTGGAGACGTCATGATGTGTCCATAATTACATGACATACTGTAGATGATTTAGATCCAGATAGAGAAGAGGGAGAGAGAGAGAGAGAGAGAAATTACACATTTGTGAACCCACTTGCTATCACACTTGTCATACCTCATACCACCACTTCTCCGTGTTTACTTCTCAAATACAGTGGGTTTCTTGGCTTTGGTGCTGTGCTTGGGCAAGGTGATGCTTTACCTCTTCAACCCTCGAGAGGAGATCAGCTATTCAGCGCACATGGGAGGTAGGGAACGAAGGGGAATCCGTTCGTTGAGTCCTTGGACAACGGAATGGTATCAGTCGTTGCCAACCAATGTGTACAGTATTTGGTTGGACATGGGATCAGCATTTCACTTGGTATTTTTGTGATTTTTGTTTGGGTTCATGGATTCAGGCTGTGTTTACTTGCACGTTTTCTCTGAAATAATTTGAAAGCATGCTAGATATTTGTTTTTTTCTTGGTGGTACTGACATTGACATTTCAAGATCGTTGTAATTTCAATCATAGTAATTTTACAA